CATAGGCTTCGCCAATTCGTTCTATCCAAGCATCTTCTGTCATGGTTCCAACTTCTGTGAGGCCTTTCTCACCACCTCCTTTCACCTTACTTTGGGTATGGACGTCTCATAGAAGGAGCTCTTTCTGCACGTGTAAGTGTCATCGTTCCAGTGGAAAGAAGCTGCCTTTCAGGAATTTTGCTAATATCCAGGACTCGCAGCAGTGTAGCATCTCGGGTCTGACCGTTGCGCACCACATCTCCTCTTGAGCGCCTCGGGGCACCGTCCATTTCAGAATGTGCCACAATGCTCCTTACACTCCACCCCTTGCGTTGGTATGGATTTCTACCGCCATGTCCTTACTTACTCGGCGGCGAAACCCCAAGTATCGGAAGTTTTCCAGTCCTTCGACTCTTCTCTAACTGTTCCCAGGATTACGAGCAGGAACTTGAAAATTTCTTACTCAATGGATTTTTTAGATTTATCATTCAAAAAAGCTCAGTTCTTGAGGTTCCGATCTGACTTCATCAAGGGGGTACGCCAGCAAACCAAACCATGAGAGGACAGAGTCTTGAGGCGTCGAATCGAACTTAGGCCTATCAATTCCCCTTTCTTCTCACGGCCAGTTACTATCACAGTCTCAGCTTAGACTTCAACTGGGAGCAGGATGCGTGGCGCATCCCAAAAGTACAGATGAACGGTTCTGATAATGCTTTTTGTTCTGTACATTTGAATTTGAATTCTATAGTTTTTTTTTCATAGTAAATTGCCAGGAGAACTAGCCTTTATTTTATGCCCCTTTATGACCTGAAGTTACGCGGCAAAGGCGCTTGATGGGCACACCTTCGTCTTGTCTCCCGTGAAACTCGTCCGCTCACGCCCCATCTCCATCTGAAAGTGGAATGCGGCCGAAAGAAATAGGGTCTTTGTTCGGAGAGTAACCAGGAGTTTCTTTCGCTTTCTTTTTCTTTTCCAGATTACTCGTCCACCTCCAGCTTATTATTGAACGCTATTTCCCACCCATTTTATCCTGAAGCATGCCTTTGAGTGCGTTTTGAATGATCCCGACCTCAGCAGTGAACAATTTTGTAGAATTTCGCCATATTGATCCATCATCTTCTGTTCTTCACAGGTGATGTTGTTGACAGGGTGGACGCGACTTTGACAGCAGAAGATATCCATGGAATCTAATCCGGATGGTACCATTCCAATCCCTCTCTCTCGCCGAGTAGGTAGTCGTCCTCCCATCCGAGTCGAGGGTTAGTCATTTCTACGAGGGTGAAACCACAACATATTGAATACGAATTTCCACGCAAACAGCTGTGAGAGGCGTTCGTATTCAAACATCTTACTACGATTCCGAGCGAAAAGGCAAGGCATGGCGCATGCCGACACGACCTCGACATCGAGCTCAATTCTTCGACCTTGACCTACGTCCTAAACGCAACCGGCACGCACTATTTGATCACACACGCTACCTGCAGTCTTGAGCATACCCGACAGGAGGCCCGTCGAGGACGACAAGGCAGAAACGCGCGGCGCACTACCGCGCGATTCCGCTTCAAGTCAAATGGAATGCACCATAGTGAGTCCTAAACTACATATTGCGCCCGATAGATATAACGATAGTCCACTGATACGTCTGTGTCTCTGCCTTCTGCTTTCGCGCTCCAAGCCTCTTGTCGGGTACCCGCAGTCCTGAATTTTATGCAATACTTAAAATGTTTTGTTTCACTGCCAAATTATTCAATTATAAACCCTTTATTAAAATCAATCAACGAAAACATTATCATCATAATTGTCATCAAAAAATAGACACTCCAAAATATATACATTACAATCGGTATCCAAAGGGCATCAGTGGGTTGTCAGAAATCACGTGTTTACCGGAAAGTCACTCGCAGAGGTCAATAAACTCGAAGGGTAAGCGACGCGGTCGCGGGGCGTACGCAAAGGAGCGAGAGGCGGCGCCGCTGTATTACTTCTATGGGAACAGGGGGAAGGAGAAGATTTACGAACAAACAAATACGAATAAAATCGCCAGAAAAAAAACACGAAAACAAACCAACAAAAAATCGATAAAACAAGGGAAAAACTCGAAAATAACATCCATACATTCCGATACAACAAGCTAGGAAGCAAAATAATACATAACCGTTTGGCTGAGATCACAGCAGAGATCAAAGCGTCGACAGCATAGTTATCGATTGGTTGCCATGTATGCGCGCGTAGATGGCTGTACGCGCGTACGCGCTTCAAACACGCCTACTCTGTGTTTGTCTATGGTTCATTTCCGATTCCCGATAGTTACCTAGAATTTTTCAGTGCTAAAATAGTCAGAGAATCGAGAATTTCTCACCAGAATATTAGGTTCAAATATTGAAATTAGGTCCCCCTAAAAGGGTTTGAAAGCACGATTTCACGAAGGGGGCGCTAGGGGGCGCTTTACTGGTTTTGCTGCTGTGCTGTCGTTGATCGCTGTATGCTTTCAGCCAACGTGCGTGTCAGATGCGCCTCAATTTGACGCACATTCTCCAGGAATGCCAAGAATTCCGCGTCTTCCATGCCGCCGCTGCCGCCGCCGACGCCGCCATTGCCGCCGCTGTTGCCAACACCACCACCGTTGGATGTGCTTGTCGGCGGTGTGGATAGGGCAGAGCTGCTGGGCGCGGCTTGGGGTTGACTAATAGGGACCATAGGGACGGGATGTGGGGCCATGCTAGAGTTTGCCCTCATTGCGTTCGACATCAATTGCTGTGCAAAAAGACTTTGTTGCTGAAGTGGAATGGGCATAGGAAGAGATGTGGCCGGAGCGCCCAACGATGCATTCATTTGATGAGGAAATTGAAGTGATGACGAAAACGGCGGCGCAATCGTTGTGGCGGTACGTTGTAGACGAGGTACATTGGAGGACATCTGAAAAAAACAACTTCACAACTTTTTTTTACAGTATCTCGCCGGTGGGAAACTCCGCCCACTCGGGCAGCCACGCCCCTTTGACCACCAAAGGTACAGTTTCTACATAAATAGCGTGTAGCAATACCTGAGGGCTCATGCTGGTTCCAGAAATCGTTTGCCGCCGTTGTGGCAGTCCTGTAGGTTGAGCTAACCGTAATAGGTTGTGGTATTCTTGAACTGTCATTTGTTGATTTCGCATTTGCAATGCCTAAAAATAACTTGTACTGACGCCAACTATAAACGCTATGGCTGCTTCAAAGTACCTGATTTTGCAACATTTGAGGCGGTAATTGCCTCTGAAGCTGTTGAGCCATCGCCTGGTCGTGTGCTCGATACTGTTGCGCAGCGGCGGCCGCATTATTGTACGCGGCCGCGGCTGCGGCATTCTGATCCATTTGACGGATCTGCTGAGCTCCGTCGAGCGGTCGAAGCTGTGGTGGACCGTCGAGTGGGCGAAGTGGTTGTTGAGCAGCACTGTCCAACGGACGTAGATGTGGTGGTGTGGTCAGATAAGGAGTTCTGCATTGTCGTCGGCAACGTACGCGCTTGCATCGCTGCTAAACGGGATATCGATTAGTGGGCGTGGTTTCCCACAAGTGACGGTTGCTCGATCTGTCTTACCTTGAAGTGCGGCTTGTTGCATTAATTGTTGATGTGTGAGCATGTTGTTCTGCATCTGAGGTATAATTGGCAAGGGTCGTTTACTGGATGGGTCCTGAAATGAGGAAGGCGCTTGAATGGATACTTATTCACACCCGTTATCACATCGTAGGAAGTGATCGTCACGAGGGAAAGTAAATAAAATTCATTCCATAATTATGCCATCATTTTCATATTTTTGAATTAATAATTAGTCACTTGTTGGAGCAAGTGAGCGTAATTCCTACTCATACGGCCCGGCGATGAGCGGCTAAACAGAGCAATGTCCGCAAGCGGAATACCGGTGAAAACAAAACACGACTGGCTAAAACACAGTCAGTTCAGCTTTTCTACTGATTGCTCATTCACAACGATTGTTGATAGATTGACGGAACTGTTTAGGGAAAACGACACTGCTGAAAAAGGTGCCGCGAACAGCGACCGCCGCGGATAAGAAGTAGGCCGCCCACCCATGTTTAAAAGTTACTCATGCCAAAATAGCAGATAACTCCACAAGGAGTGCGTAAGTCAACTCTGTAGCGTGCTATGGGAAACAGGTTAGGATGAAAGGAGAGAGAACAGGCCAACGATGAGTCGGAAGCGAGAGAGATAATGAACGTTTATGGTAAGTGATTGATGGACCGATGACTAGCAATAATTACAATATTGAGATAGCAGCGGGCACATTTAGAAACTTAGCGAATCAGCGTCTACCAAAAACAATGGTTAGCATGGGCTAGGCAACCACCTAGCCAGAAAGCGATTACAGCGCTGTAGGGAAACTCATTAGACGAAAATTTGGCAGTTCAATAACTAAAATTTAACAAAACATTCCCACGTTTACAATAATATATAAACAACAGAACTCCACGGCTCAGGAGTTTATAACATATGGGGTAGGGTGGGTCAGGTAAAGCAAAGCATCGCGAGAAGAGCAAGAGTGAAATTGGTTGGTCCGCAGAAAAATGACAGGGAAGGCAAGAGTCTGCGCTTGACTCCAGGAATATGTCACGTTGCCCAGAATGCATGTTGACGACCACGTTGAGTCACATGTCAAAGATCCTTGGTTATGTTGCCCTGCGTCCTCCCCAAGCAGAGCTGGTAGGACTACCTTGGCTAAGGCCTCGCAATTTACTTTCAAACTTCCTTCTTTACCGATCTTTCTCCCATCCTTTACCGAAAGCCATATCTCTAGATCCGAGTATACTCAAAATATGGTAGTAAATAGGTCAAGCAAGGTAAGGGAGGGGCTTGGTAATGAAGTCGAAGCAGGAAAAATTTAAAATTTCTGAATGATTGTGCACACGAAACAAACACCCGATCATCCCCGATGCACCAGAAGACCATTTACGATCCCTTATTCAGAATATTGGCTCACCTTGGTGACCGCTGTGGAAAATGGTGAATCTCGCCACTGAGCACCACTAAATCTTTGTGAATGGGAAAACGATGACAATAATAACAGTGATGATGAAATCACAAAATCATATTGTGCAGCTGTATAAACGTTGTGGTTATTTTAGTACTGGAAGCAATCGACGGAACGTTGTATCAGCCTTAGTTTGGTTCAGCATCGGCGCTCAAGATAGGCGAGCAGATCTCTCATTGGTGCTCCGACGGCACGTATTCTGCGCTTTTCTGATTGAGACGGTAGTGTGCCTAGGGGGGGGGGGAAGGAGAGTCGCTATGCCGACTAAGCCTAGTAGAAAAGGATGAATTTAAGGGCAAATGAACATTGCTTACACACTTCTCTCCTTTGGACCCAGCTAACGCTTGGTCCTTGAGGATGGGGGGTTAGGAGGGTGAACTGTTGGGTGTGTTGGGCTCAGCGGCACTCCCCTCTGGGTAAACCAACGCCAATTGGACGATAAACGGGGATATAATGGAACAAATTGACTGCAACTGACTGCTTAATACAATCCTGGAGAGTAAGCCAGCATAAGTCGTGTATACAATTACTTCAATAATTAATTGTATTTAAGCTGGGTAGAGAAAATTAGATTGTAGTCGAAAAAAGCATAGAAATCGTAGTATTCGATTGCAGCGACTAGAAATCCTGAGATAACTTCAAAACTATTCAAAATCAGTTTCAAAAAATATTCCAGGTATGGTTCACTCGCAGTAAATCTTTAACCCTCGCCTTGGAATCCTCCTATTACGATTTTTTTCCCTTACGAATGGCTTTACACGGTTTAACGTTGATGCCAGGATTTCAAAGGGTTTACAACGTTAATTAGAAAGTGACGAAATTTGAAAGGTGATTAAACCGCGTCTAACCCGTCTGGAGGATGCGCCATGCACACAATTCTTTTCGAGGTCGTCAAGGTAATTGATAGAGCGAATTGTAGAAGCACCATTGGTTATCATCAGTCGATAGCCAATCAAACGAAATAGAGCAATATCCGGAAATAGCGAGCTACACAACGTCGGCGAGGCTTGTATTTGATCAGCTGTAAAGGGGTGCTGGGATGTTTTGCGCTCTAGGGGTACGGAATGCAATTTTAAATCATTGATAGCCAAGTAGGACGATTGGAAGGTGGTCAGGTTTTCAGTGGATGTTTAGATATAGTTAATCATAGTTATAGTTTATAGTTATAGTTATAGTTAGATTTTACACCGCTCGCAAGTTTCGGAGGAGACAAACGATCTCATGTTAGGACTACCGCCATTAATTAATGGGGGAGCTGAAACTGAACTACGAAGCTAGTCGGTCAAGTACATGGGACAGCCGCGCCTTTGCCTCTGCACTATGCACTGATATCCATTTTATCAAAGGTCGGAGAACTTGTGTATTGTACTAATCAGTGACCGGCAGAACTGTGACCAATTGGACCTATGACCTTCGTGAAACACGTGAAAACGAATTTGTCTATGCAGGCAGGGGGGAGAGGGCGGGGGGATGGGGCGGCGGTGAGGCCTGAACAGCAGTCGGTGCATATCCACCCACACGATATATGGTGCCAATTATTCGATACCGATGTGTATGGAATTCTTAGTTGGCCTCAACGGCGTACCATCCACGGTTCGATCCGCGGGCCCTGCGCGTGATGAGCAGCGCCACTTGCCACTACTACTACCACTTCGGCCTGTGGTCATCGGTATTTCTAGTTACAGTGGATATGTCAACACTTCGTTTGTGATAGAAGTGATTCGCTGAATCCACCTGCCTGCTGAATCCATCCATGACGAAACCAAGTCAGAATTGGCAGTGTGCCAGTCCTCCCAACGCAGCTTCGACAATGACTACTGGGTTTTTTTTCGCCATTGGCGTACTATTGAGCACCTCCACGTCCCTTTGAATTCCTCCATGAAGGACGAAGCTTCTGCCGTTGATCAATCCCTTTTTGGGATGCGGCACGCATTCTTCTACTTCCATTTGTACATTCGTAGTGGATTTGGCCTATACAATGACTTGCGGGGCCAGCCGATGTACAAGTCAGTGTTTTTATCCTCCCAGACAAGTCTGGTACCAATTAACCGACCCCGGAGGGATGGAAGGCTTGGTTGGCCCGGGCGACTCACGACCCAGGATTTGATCCCCGGACCGCTCGCGTGGTGGCGCGCCACTTGCCACTACACCACTTCCGCCCCTAAATCCTCCAGAACCTATCGTAATCGCTGGCCATGAAGAGAGGGTAAAGAGAGAGCAGTAGAATGGTCGGGATGAGTGCAGTTGGCAAGATAGCTGTGGTAGAAAGAGCTTGGTAATTTATCATGTGGGGTCAAGATTTGGAGGGGCAAAGATAGTTAGAGTGACAGGTATTGACTGTCGTTCGCACACTCAATCTTAAAGAAGGGCTCCGCTCAGGAATCCTTTAGCTTTGTAATTTTGCAGTTAGTTTTCTTGATAATTCGTAGATCTGAGCAGCGGGAAAACTGTACAGCGCCTTTAGGATAATCGCGGGATGATACAGATGTAAAGGCCAACGATGGATAATGTGATTGGGATTTTTCCGCGGTTGATAAACATTTTGTGGCAAAATTTGTGCTAATTTTTGATAAAACCGCTGAAATGCTAATCCGTCACGGATTGAGGATAAGGGATAAGAATGGCAAGAAGATCAGCAGGCTGGATGTCATGGCGTGGGCATAAAGAAGGCTTTGCTTAAGTCTCTTTAGGGTGGCTTTATCCCAAATAGTATTAAATAAATCTCTGTCTAGTATTTAATCAAAATAAAACAACATGATGCAGATTATCACATTCACTTCCTGCGAGTAACAGCTAAAGGTTAATCCTAAGAAGATTGCTATCTTAGCGCTCAAATGTGATTCACAAATATCAAGTGCATTTCATTTTGCCATAAAAATCCCAAAAAATGTCATGCCGGGGCTTCTCGTCGCTATCGCAAAACAAAAAAAAAACGAGGGGGCATTGTGGTGGCAATGTTTATAACTGTGTAAGACAATTTATTGTTAAAATCGGAACTAAGCTTAGGCAGGGAAAGAAATTCCAGGGTGCGTGGTACTTTCGTTCACGACCCTCAAGTTCCTGCAGCCTCCTAAACTTGGGCCTTTAGTGCCCCGTATTTTGCGATAGCGCTTTTCTTGCAAAACGGTGGAGCCTTCAGGGAAAAAACGGAACAGCCTTCACCTACAAGAAATGGGAAGAAACACTCGAAGTTGCCGCGTAAAGGTCACCGCGCGACTCTAACGCTCCGTTACCATCTGTCCACGAATTCATGGAGCGCAATGTTAGTGGCATTTGTACCATTTCTCAGCCAGTTGAACTTTTTTCTAATGATAATTTCAAACGCGAGCCGAGCAACGAGTTGCCGCGCGCGGCGATTCCGAGAGAGACTCCTGACACACACCAGATGTGAAATAGTCGAGCTGGGCGCTTTTCCGCAAATAAACGCAACGTAAAGTATAAACGGAAAAGCATTTGCCGTTGATCAATCCCGTTTTGGGATGCGGCACGCATTCTACTTCCATTTGTACATTCGTAGTGGCAGTTGAATGCGATGTGGCCTATACAATGACTTGCGGGGGCCAGCCGATGTACAAGTCAGTGTTTTTATCCTCCCAGACAAGTCTGGTACCAATTAACCGACCCCGGAGGGATGGAAGGCTTGGTTGGCCCGGGCGACTCACGACCCAGGATTTGATCCCCGGACCGCTCGCGTGGTGAACGCGCCACTTGCCACTACACCACTTCCGCCCAGGGCGTAAGTCACCACGTAGCTGAAATAAGTGATAATCGGTGTCACTGGGTGATATTCTTGGTGCCCTTTGACAGGACGACTAGATAGCGCGTCGACTATTTTTGATCGAATCACCTGGGCGGGTTTCCTAGCTGGAAACACCTTCTTCGTACCAAAGGCTAACTTCACAAACCACTCAGGCGAGAACGCGTCATTTTTTCGAAATTGGGCGCTATCGCAGAATACGGGGGCATTGTGATGGCAACGCATTTAACTGCGTAGAAAAGTTTTCTTTTGTCAAAATCGGGCCCATGCCTTAGACGGAGCAGGAGACACTCCAAGGTGCGCCCGAAATTCCTGTCCTCCTAGGGTTAGTCCTAGAAGATGCCCCCCTACCTTGTGATAGTGCCCGTAATTGTACGAAAGCTAGTATTACTGTATTCTTCGAATTGTCCTATACTATATGTTGCCTACCCTTATCCGATGTATAGGATGGGGACCTGTTCTGAAAACCTCAAAAAGTGAAAAATTTCTTGATTACCTCCAAATCCCTTAGAATTTCACCTACAGAAACCCATTGACATAGCTTCCCAAGCTCTTCGTTCTGTTAGGATATGTGCAGTCCTCCCAAATTCAGACTAATTACGACCCCTCCTCCCACTTAGTGCCGTTTCTCGACGAAAGCATGATTCAAGTATAGAGGGGGGATGGATCGCTTTGACGGCTGACTTCCTTCTTCATACTCTATAGCGTGATAGCAATGAAATCCGGTACTCAAGGTCTAAGCCCACAGAGATGTGTCATAACGGATTTCCCTTATCCGCTATGATAAAGCTGTTTCTCCAACTCCTACACGGCTTTGCCCACGTCATTGCGCGACTTGGCATTTGAGCGGCACTCAGCCATCTATTCGTTATTGCACCACAAATCCGTGGCAAAACCTCGAAGGATTTGTTCCTCATACAAGCGCTCAATGACAGTTGTGACCTTTTAATTTTGCCCTTGAACGATCTGTATGACGAGCTTCGCCCTTCAAACCGAGACTGCTCTATCCTTGGATGACTCGAGTGAGTTTAAAGGCAAGCCCGGGATAAACTGGTGATAAGAGCGCTTCGTAGTGATGACTGAGCTGCGGACGACCTGAAAGTGGAAAGGAAAGCTAGAGAAATCTTTGGGATCGCTGAAATTAAGGCCTTAACCTTCAAAAAGGTCGGATGTGGACGATGGCGAGGCAGGGCGGTCAAAGAAGACAAAACGCGAGAGATCACGCCGTTCGAGAGAGCACGCCGATATCGAGGTGGGTGGGAAGCGTTGCAACGGGGGTCGATGGTTGCAGGCCCGTAAGGATTAGCGCCCTAACCGCGCAACTTTTGCGGCGAAGCTGGAGTGATCTAGGTAGGTAGGGACCTTACAATTTCCCTCGCGGTATCCTTCCCACAAGTCGGGCTAATCCCGGGTTTGCCTTTTAGCCTGTGGAAAGAAAACACATCAAAGGTTATCTGATAAAGCGTTGAATCATTAAAAGCTGAAATGTCGCATTCGAGCAAGCTTCGATTACGTCTGGAAGTCGAATGCGTGGCGTATCCTGAGGAACAAACGTTAGAAAATTTTTCCTCTATTTTTATTAATCGATTTCATGGCTTTTACTTGTCGAAATTATTCGGGAGATCATAATCTTGAGCTTTATAATGCCTACTCGAAAAACCTAGGCAGCGCTTTTAATTTCAATTTCCCTCAGAGTAGCGATGTGAGAAAAAGGAGGAAATAATCAAGTGAGGCACATACTACTCATTGAAAACAGAATTGCAAAGCTGCAAAATCGCAAGTGGAATAATTCTCTTCGAGTGAACTGAATTTGTGAGTATTTCCGGGAAAATCTTAATAAACATCCTTCGGAAAAAATAGGATTTTTTAAGATAAAGATATTGCTTGAAAGATTGAGATATCGCTTGAAAGATTAGATGTGCAAATATAGTACTTGTGCCGGAATACTTAACCAAAGTTCCGTTGGGCCGAAGTGGCGGAATGACAAGTGACGCCGCTTATCACGCGCACGATGAGGGGATCAAATCCTGCGCTCTGCGCCGTCCTGGCCAACCAGCTTTTCATACAACCAGGGTTGGTTAACTGGTAGCCGACATTTCTGAGAGCCGGAATCATTCTGATGAGGTGACCTCCTCATTCACTCCTTCGTCGATTCAAAGCATTCGACCAGTCTATATAGGG